AATAACAAAATAATTGTACGGAACAAACAATGCCAAAATTCATAAGAGAATACAAGATAGCATACTGATCACCATGTACTACTGCAACTTGTACTCCAGGTTGACGATTATGAGTTAATACTGTATTTTTTAATTTATTTATTCATTAGTTTTTTTTTTATTTTTGTTTTTTAAATTAAATTATTTATGCATTATTCCATCACCATTATTCATTCATCATGAATGTTTATACATTAAATTATTTTACCTTAGTTTTTGAATTGAATTATTTTATTCTTCCCTTTCCCTTTACTTCTTATTTATGCCTTTTAAATTTGTTATTCATTTAATTCATTTGTTCATGCATTATTTTATTTATTTAAACATCCAATCAATATTATATCAGTATCCAATGATTGTTGCTGTATTTTTAATTGCATAATTATTTAAATGAAAATGCTCCATCAGTCTTTTTCCTCATATATTTTTTTATATTAATTACTGTATTATATATATTATACAGTAAAATGTAACTAAATTGACTTTGCCTTTCTTGAATAATTTCTAAGTCAATCTTATTTTACATGCCAAATTATTGATTAACGATCCATAAGTCGAAATTTATCTATGTCAAACGATTTTTCAATGCCACTTTGGATTCGACTTCAAAGGCAAGTTGAACAGTATTATTTCATTCATCCCTTCATACATTATTTCACTATGTATAATTTATACCTATATTTGTGCATTATTATATCAATTCATTCATTTTTTTAATCATTTTACTCTTATTCATGCTAATTAATTTGATCTCATTATATATCCATTCCTTCATTCATTTAATCAAGTTCGTCTTATTTCTTTCCATCTTAATTATTTATTCATTCTTAATTTCTGTATTTATTTATTCATGCATTCATTCAATAATTCTGGCTACCTTTTTCATACATTTTCTTCTTTCAGCTACTGTCTTGCATGTTTTGTGTTTGCATATATTCATATATTCTCGTGTACTGTATAAGGCGACTTAAATTTGAGAACATTTTTGGAGGATCATTTGTATTGTGTAAGATGACCATCTGTTTCACCATCTGAATTCCTCCTTTTGATGAAATCCACTGAGACCAAGCCTGCATTTAGCCTTCAAATCACCATACGTCCAAGTTCTATGCTTGGTATAAAATTAATGCATTTCATTATATCAGCATTTTAAAAGCAATAATTAAAACTGACGAATTAAACAACAAACATTTGTATGGCATTCATTTCTGGTTCGTCAAGCTTACATGGGGACTTTAATAACAGTTACCTGTAGTAGCTTCATTTTAATAGCAAATTTGCGTGTTACGGATGATCCACACATAAAACGAACATGATTTTAAAATAAAACAAAATTCTGAGTTCAAGTATGAGACGACCACCCTGTTTTCAATCGTAATTTGCCATTTTAATATAGCATTTCTATACTTTTGACAACTGCTGCACCTTTTACTGCTTGGAATACTTTCAGATTTTACATACCGATACCCAGCACAAAGGCTTAATAGAAGCTTTTGTATATGATTGTAGGCTTTTTTTCCAATTACAATAAAAGCAGTTTTATTTTAACATAAGTCAGTTAATATTAAGAGTCATATAATTGAGCAATTATGTGGTGAATTACTGGCAACCAAACTAAAGCATCGATTACATAAGATGTGGTCGTTTTATTGTTTGCAGCAGACAACAGCGCTCACTTCAGTTTTGAAAGAAACGCATTTTAGCGAATTTGTTTTATTGTTAGGCTACTCCATGCAAAATGATGTGATGTCCGAAATGAGTCATGAACTAATCTGAGTTGCGTGAAACATAAGTCTGCAAACATACAGCTTCACATTGTCTCATGTTGTTTTGTAATTAACATCCAGAATGAGAGATTAGTCATTAACTCTGCATTTTCCATTAGTCAAGCAAAAATTCTTCTATCAACAATTGATGGAAAAAGAAATTAGAATTTAGTTATGGAATTGCTTGTACCTAAATTGGCTTTTTATTTTCATGCATAAATGTGCTTTTGTATCGTTTAATCCTTCTTTCTGAAAAACTTAATTTACAATGAAAATGGACATATGCACAGATCATTGTAAAGATTGAGCTATTGGTGTTTTTTTTTTAAATACAAATAACACGACCCTCCTGAGGGAATAGACTATAATGATAATGATATAAACAAATAATAATAATGATAATGATAATAATAATGATAATGATATAAACAAATACTGTAGTTAAATAATATTTTATATTTATATGTACAGTGCTATGTAGCATACTATGATGTATGATATTATATTATTATTTATAGTAACAATATTATTCTTATCAATATAGTTATTATTTTTGTGATATTTTATTAATATATAAATGAATATTAATTTTCCAAAGGAATTTTTAAATGGAAATGTTAATAACATTTTATTATTAGTACATAATGATGGATCTTTGCAATGCATTGTGGTATTGTGATGCTGATATATTAATCTAGCAGCAATTTATTTATTTATTTACTTTGGATTTGTATTATTTTTATTTCTTATATTCCCAGTTGCCTTACATAAATTTATTCTTTATTTATTTATTCTTTTTTATTCCTTTTAATCATCTACTGCAATCAAACTTGGTTACCTGATTTTAAAGAGAGCATGCTTTTGTATTTTTCATTTCTGTTTTGCTTAACCCTTTTTCATTTTCAATGACACATGCATTAACTTTATTTTAAAACTGCTTATTTAATAATATATTTATATTACAATGTTATTCTATTTAATTTACTTTATTTTGTACGTTGATTTGATTTTGGAATAAAACATTGAAATGAAATAATTTGATATGGGGCTAGCAGGAATGAGTAACAGCTGCAAGCTATTGGGAATCCCCTCTCTATTCCCCCAGATGAAAAGCTGCTATAATAAATACCTTTGGAAATGAATTAATTCCCTTAATTCTCACCTGCCCTAGATGCGAATATTTTAATGACATTGTTCCTATGCAGATCGGCAAGTGCAGTGAATGTGAATCTAATTATGTCATTTACCTGAATAATAATGTCTGCTTATTAGATGGAGTTTGGTTGCACTAGCCTCATTTCCGAACATTATTAGTCCTGATTGTAATTATGGCAATTACTGTGGCAGAATTGGATTTATTTTGAGCAAATAATGTTGCATCTCTTTGTGTTGTCCTACCTCTTTCATCCTTCAAAATGTAATTGAACTGGAGCATGGTGTTTAAGGTGCCGGCCTTTTAATCACATGGTCCTTGGTTCAAATCCTGCCATAGTCAAGGATTTTTCACATTGAAAAACAGGTCCATTCAGTAAGGCCCATCATGAGAATTCATAGTTGAATAATTTTGAGTGAAGAGAATAAATTTATATTTACCGTGAAATACTGTAATAACTTTCTGTAATTGTATTTCCAACCTTGAGAAAGATTTAAATATATTCTTTATAACAAACATAATAATCAGATCACTATAATAAAATCATAATGATAACATTAGAATAAAAATTAATATAATTGTGCAGTTTTTAAAAATATGTAATATGTTAACAAGTTGTAAAGATAATAATAAAATTACTAATAAAAATTACTCCAATTCCTTAGGGTCATCATGAGAATTTATAATTGAATAATTTTTGAGAAGAGAATAAATTTTAATTTACCACGAAATACTAAATAACTCTGTGGGAAAAATGTAAATTCTATATCCCACATTTTAATACAAAAATACAAAAAAAATTGGTAAACATCATCATAACACCTATCATCATCGTCTTAATATTTATGCAATAATTATATATCAACGATTTAACATGTTAATAATATAAGATTCATTTTGAAAATTAAAAATTATTTAACATTAATTACCATCATCATTATAACAAATATAAGATTGCAACAATACAGAAACAATGTTAGAATAAAAATACCGTACTCGTGCGAATAATCGCCCGGGCGCTTAAAATATTTTTTCACTTTCTGAGGGGCGCTTATTCAAACGGGGCGCTTATGAAAACAGAGTGGAAATTGAGAGGGCGCTTATGGCAATAGATGAAAATCGAGGGGTTCTTATGGGAAATTATTAAGTTCAAGAGGCACTTTTTGAATGAAAAAAGATTATAAGGACATTACGAATGGTGGTTAGAAAAGATAATCGTCCAGAGAACATGGCTCATGACAAGAATACGTGAATATTTACATAAACAGCAAAATAGCAGATGCAATTAGTGATGATGGGTAGTGGTTTGCTTGTTGGCCATCGGCCAACAACTCAGATGAGAATGTGCTAAAGGTCAGAAAAAGAAAATGAGGGGTAGGACTAGGCATAAACAAATATGTAAAAAGAGTAAAGTTGGAAATATTCTGTCTGTCCAGGGATCGGAGCTCGGGATCGGATCAGAGCTCTCATCTGTCCAAGAGAAATATATCCTCATTTTTGATATTGACCGAAGAAGAATGTGTTTCCACTCTACAGCTCAAATCATGCCAACAACCACAGTCCCAGGATTGATTGGATTATTGACTTGAAAGAAAATCTTATGAGGGGGCGCTTATTCAAACGGGACGCTTAAGGAAATTTTCACGTTAGGAGGAGCGGTTAATCGAGAGGGGCGCTTATTCAAACGGGACGCTTACAGTATTCGCGTGAGTACGGACATTTATATTAGTGCTATTCTTAAAATTAACAATTTAAAAAAATAGTATTTACAATTAATTACTAATGAAAATAACATTAATTTTTATTTTAATATAAAATATAATTCTTATTGACAATCTTTCTAAGTTCCATATCCTGTTTGACTATTTAAAGAAAACAATAAAAAAAAAATAGTACAGACTATTAACTAACCTTGAACTCCATGTTGACCTCAATGGAATAATCTGCCTATATCACACCATCCATCACTGAACGGAAGCAACCTATTATCTACCTGTGCCTGAATGGTATGAACCACCTCAATAATATTTTCAACCCTGACTGTGTGTGCTTTCAATATATTCTATATGTGTGCAAGTGGACTGTGTATTCTGGTGTATTGATAGGCCGGTGTGTTTATTCTTTACTGCTTGTGCATTCATTCAACTGAGATTATCATTAGGACTCGGACAGTTATATCCAGACCGTTGCCTCCGAAGCTGAATATTATTTGCAAACATCTAATGTGAGTTGAATTCTAATTTCAATATGTAAATTTCGGAACCATGTGTATATTATTATGTGTGCAGGTCTTCTCTGCCCCACCTAATGTACAGAAACATGCAGATATAGGCTAATGCACTAAAATAGCAATGTCATATTTAATGCTTGCGCAGACAGATTGTAAATATACATGGTGTCATAGTTAAGATCTAAATATTGTATGCAATGTTTCAAGACTTTATTATCATTTTAATAATTGAGGATGGTATAATCTAATCTAGAATCATCTGTTGCTTTACCAACCAAACATGCATCTTTGATAATTTGTTACACTAAACATTATTCATTATCGTTGATACTAAATTGAAAATTTATTTTTATCGTCTACGAATTAAATTACTAAATTTATAATCATTATTGTCATCATAAGTATCGTGATATTGCCCTGTTGTTGTTCATTATAATCGTTAATAAAATTCATCATTAAATTTTAATTGTATACTATATATTATTACTATTTAAAGTGTTATGATTTATCCATCTTATCCATTGTATTCATAATATTAAAGTAATTTTGATTTCTTTTTTTTTTTGTTAATCATAATTAATTTGATTAATATTCATTATTCATTAATATTTAATAATATTCATTATTCTTCATACATATTCTAACATAAATTAGCATCCTCTTTATGCTACTGGTATACAGGCCTGCTATCTTTACTATTCTAAAATCTGCTTTTTCCATTGAATTTATTCATATATTAATTTAATGTATATCTCACCAGGTCTGAAAGCCTTAATTGCATATTCCATCCAAGCATACTATACATTGCTTGTTAAATCCTCATTAATCATTGTTTATAATATTATTGAAATGTACAATGTACTGTAAAATATTTTTTATTGCCTTATCTATTTAAATAAACCCCCCGCTTTGAATAAACACCCCTCATTTGGAATAGACACCTTCCTTAATTAAAATCCCCCTAAACGACTGTAAACAAGTCTAATGGAAGCAACACCATTCTCAACACATAATGTTCTACTCCAAGAATTATATTTCTTCTAATCTGGTTGGAATCAATAAGTCTTCATAGTGAGGCAAACACATTTTGACGGTAATTATGTGTTGTACTGTAGTTCCTTATTTACAGTGAAATTCAGGGGCATTTATTAGAGTATACGCATCCATTTTACACCAAAGAAAAATAAACTCCTTCCTCGAATAAACACCTCTCTTGAATAAACTCCCCCTCAAAAACCCTCCTGTGTTTTTTCTTAAGGTACTGTAATGATAAATAATATTCAAAAATGTAATAAAAGTATTAATTACAAGATAAAAGGCGCAAGACTTTATTAACCAGGCGTGGATCCAGTAGGGGGACGTGCCTCCAATTTTTGTGACTAAATTTTAAAATTAACCCTAGTCATGGATCAATTAAGTAGGCAAACCGGCAGGAGGTTGAACCTTAACTACTCCGTGGGGAGTGAACCTAGTCAATACATAATATTCTACCAGCTACTCATTTATTCTCCGGATCAGAAAGAGACAAATATTATGTTAAGTGCCCAGCCTAAGGAGATACTGTAAATGAAAGGCACAAAAATGGATTTGAACCTATGACTTAAGGTTAAGTGTTCTGTAACTAGTGTGTTCATTTATACTTTGGAGTGGAAAGAGAGCATAGGTGAAGATCCTTGCACCAAATACTAGTTAAAGCCACATGAGCAAGGGATTTTAACCTATGACCTAAGGTTAAGAGGCCTGCAACCACTGCGTTAATTGATATTCCCGGGTGGGAAGAGACTTTAACACACATGAAGTGCCTTGCCGAAAGACACTAAATGAATGGCACAGCCAGCGATTTGAACCAATGTCTTTACGGTTTAGTGGCCTGAACTGCTGTGCTCATTTATACCCCCATGTGAAGAAATATAAGCGTAGGTAAAGTGCCTTGCCTAACGACAGGGGTGAAAGGCACAGCAAGGGATTTGAATCAACGGCTTTAGAGTTGAGAGGTCACACCGCAACTGTGGCGCTAACCACTTCCACCACTTGTATATCAATATTAAGATAAACGTACAGTATGCAAAATTTATATGAATTTTTTGTCTGTGTATTCAGTATTTATTGGCTCTCAATAGACAATGGCAAACACCTGTACAGTGGTTCATTCAGGCATATTAAATGTAATGTAATGTCCAAGTATTTTGTACCGGCTTTTCCGATGGATACGAAGCGCTAATTCCTAAAAATGTAGGGAATGGAAGTAAACGTTTGTATTGAAGTAATATTGTAGCTTAAATTAAGTAACATTTAATCATGTGATATTGAATCTATTTCATATTCTGTAACCTCCATTATTTTATAAGCAATTGAATCTAAAAGAATTTTATCTCGGTATCAAAATATTCTGAATTTGATAATATGCATTCATACATATTTATATTTTTACTCGTTGGAATAATCAAAAATTTATCGCCAAAATATTTTTTTTTTATTCAATCTGTATAATATCTTTTTCTGCATCTTATTTCATCCAACCTTTTATCCGTTCAGCTGTACATTTCATTCATCAGCATATCCTTCCATCCGTTAATAATCATTAAAAATGTCATGTCTTCGCAATGCCCATTCATTCGTTCATTTCCTTGCCCATTTATCATACCCCACATCAATCAGTCCTTAATTTATGCATACTTTTTCGTTGATATTCAGCCATATAACTCATTATATTCCGGAAGTGTCCAGCAGTGTATTGTAAACCTCCTTAAATGGATTTCATCTGCTCATTAGTCGGTGAGATGGAGGCCATTTGGGTGATTTCACGATTTCACCAACATCTCCGAATCCACATTTAATTATTTCCGCTAGAGTTTTAAAAAAAAAGCAAGTCAAAAAAATATTGTTAAAATCATTAAAAAAAATATCACTAATAGGTACAGTAATGGCTGTATGCTATGCACAGTATGTTAAAAAATATAACAAGTCGTTATCTTTGCTGTTTTTAAAGAATGCAAAATTTTTACTAGTTAAAATATCTTCTGCTCTTGTTTGTAATATTTTATTATTGGTTTTTTTTTTTTCATTATTGTATAAACACCGCCTCTGACATGTCTGCATTTAATAGATTATATAAATGTTTTCTGCAGAGTGTACTTTTATATTTATGTATTGAACTATTGTTGGAAAGAAAGCTTTTAGATAAATGGAAGATTTAGTCGTTCATGCAAGTAATCTTGAAATTTCAGTCCGGTAAACTGTCGCACGAATATCTTTAGGTAGATTGGTTATTTAGTATCAAGCTGGCATGATTGATAGGAAATTCATTATTATCATAAATAATAACATTAATATCATCAAATTGATTTTTATCAACCATCATTCCCAAATAAAGTATGTTAATTGATTTCTGTAAATAATTTAAAAAAATTTATTTCATAATCATAATTACATTGACAGCATTATTACCATCAACATTGATATATTTTATCATACATTATCATCATTGGTATCATTGTATTCATACATATTATCATATTCATCATTTACATCATTATTACCATCATCATTGCTATCATCATATCATGATCACTATCATGTCAACATTATGTGTACATTTGTCCATTTCGTGAATCTTAACAGGGATGAACCGATATGCCAATTTCCTTTTTAGGAACTTACCTCGAAATAAATGGAATCATCTGACCCAGGCATGTATAATGCAACAATGTTATGTAACAGGCAATCAAAATCACTTCTGATTTCTTTGGTTTAGTGCATAATGTACCTACCAGAACAAAGAATAGGCTAAGAGAAAATTAGATAAACTAAATTTGGTAAATAATTGGTAGATAGATTGGCATTATGATATGAACCATCATCATCATTGTCAGATATTTCAATTAATAACAGTTGAATTTTTGACAGCAATTTATGATTTTGATGTGTAATTAAGCCTAAATTTGTATTCCTGTTGTTTATTAACAGATAGTAACTTTTAAACACAATAAATTTGATACTGTAGCCGTTACTTAGCTTGGTGAAGTAGTTCATTCCATGCTAATGCTTTAGTTACTCTGAATGTGGCAAAGACAAGCCAAACCAGTCACTCGTCGCAAATCGTGTTTCAGAGAAAATGGCCAAAACATGTTGGAATGTCAAATTTTTAAAAATCAATTTTATCGCACTAAACTACCCTTTATATATCTACACATCATTCTGTGCTGTTATTTTCCCCATTTTCAATGTTAAAACAATACTTTTTAAGGATTTTAAGATAGTTTCTGCATGAGAAATGCCTCAAATCATAAACTTTGACGGTTAATTTCTCATATATTGTTCTTTAAACAGCTGTGTGGTTAAACGCTTGTAACTTTATAAGGAAATGTCCGATTTGAATGATTTTTTTACCATCTTATAGCTATTATTTTACTCTCTAACACTGTATTAATAACTCAAAATCGATTTTTGCGACGAGTGACTGGTTTGGCTTGTCTTTGCCACAAATGTTAATGGTATTTCATTTCTAAGTCTTTATGCACTGTCTGGACCAACTGTCGTTGATGACAAACAAAAAAAAAAACGTTCCTTTCAGAAGGTTGTTTGAAGTGGTACTGTATTCATCTGGAAAAACAAACTGAAAGAGAATTGTGTTTTTGTGAATAATCTTGTATGAAACACTGGAGGTAAACCATCTTCTGCCTGATTACATGCACACTGCACCAAAAGGCTCAGAGTGACAATTACCTGACTTTTGGCTCCTATGTATTGGAACCAACCAGATGTACAGTAGGCTTGCTTAGCTCAAGAAACCTTGGAGTGATTAGCTCCTGTGTGCTTTCACATCCCAAGATTATCGTAAATATTAAATGATTCTAAATCATGCTACCATTTATTTATGCATGGGTATTACCCAACTAAACTTTCCCATTAATTTTGTGTATCATTTTATACCTGCTATTTTGAGCAGAACTGGTTGTTGTGTAGTTTGCTATAAATTTGTTTAATTTGCTATG